TATATTTATTCAATAATATAGGAAGTCAAAGTAAAATTTAAACAAATGTGATATATTATTTTTAAAATAAATATTTTATTTGTAAAAATAAGTAACAATTCTTAGTAAAAAAAAATATTTTTTTAAAACTCTTTTTTAAATGTTAGGGAAATAAATTGTGATATATAAGTTTCATTAATATTGTTGTATTAATGAATAATTTAGATTTGTTTAATTAGTCTAAAATATTTATTAAGTAATATGTTAAATTAAATTTTTTTTGAAAAAAACAACGTTGTAATAAGAAATGTCATTCAATAATATATTTCATGTGGACAATGAGGTGACATTGATATCTGATATAATAGATAGATTTTAAATCAAAAGGTTATCCAATGTTGTAATAGATAGATTCTTCAAAATACAATATCCTAATAAAAAATAAATTGAAAGTACATTGTTGTAATAAGAAAAACTGAAAGTACAATACTATAATAAAAATATTTATGAAAGTAGGTTGCTATTTTTGCATTTTTTCCAATTAAATATTGTATTCAAATAATACTATAACTACACTTTTGATCCCTGCGGGTTGTTAAAAATTATGGATTTCATCCTTATGCTTCATTTAACGATCATTGCGGTTTGCAAATTATTATGCGGTTCTTTTTTACTAACACTATCAATTTTTTTTGTTAAATGTTACTCGGATGAGAATATTTTAGTTATTTTACTTTTGCTCTCCTCCTCTTCTTGAACTGCACTCCAACGTAAATCCAGGTTTCCACTTACAATTCTTAAAAGAACTTCTCTTGACAAGTGAGAGAGGGAAAAGCTAGATTACTACAAAACCTTTTTGCAAGCGGAAAAGGTGCTTGATCAGGAAGCTATTAGGGGGTGTTTCGGATTGCTTATTTGAAACAACTTACGTTTTTTTTACAAAAACACTTATCAACTTATCATAAGTTAGAAGAGTTTAATTTTTTCAAAAACTCCTTATTGCCGGTTTGACACCAATATAAGTTGTTTATCCAAACACTCAAAAATGCTTATTAACGGTGTCACACCGTAATAAGTCAATAAGTTATTTTTATAAGCAATCCCAAACACCCCTAAGCAATTAGATAAGGAAAAAAGAGCAAGAGAAAGCAAATAGTTGATTTTGAACATATGGTTAAATAGCCATGTAGTTTTCTTTCGGTGGAACAGCTTTAAATTCATCTTTTGCATCTTCCACCTCATCCAAATGGAGCAATTATTTGAGGTCAAACTTACAATGAAGCAACCACTCTGCTCTCTATGACGTGTCCGAACATTTTCAATACCAAACACCTCATAGAGAGAACTAGTGATCTACCTAAGTTCACCAAGCAACATGGTAATTTCTTCAATAAGCCACTAGACTTAAGTTTGCCGCTTCTAGTGATTGAGAACTAACCAGTGTCTCGGAGACGGAGAAGAAGAAGAAGAAGAGGAAGAGAGGGAGCATGAGAGCTAAGAGTGCACCTGATGGGTTTTACACAACTTTAAGCACGTGTACATTGAAATTTATTTAATAAAAAAATAAGAGAAAAACAAAAATTGGTAAAAAGATTAAAAAAAAAAATCTCTCTCGTGCCTCTCAAATGAGGCACCTAACTGGCCTCGACGAATGACTGTTAAGGCAAAGGACAAAATCTGTAAGGATTTACAAACTACAGTAACTAACTATCAACAAAATAAACAAATCAGATAAATAAAGTTAAAGTTCGAAATTTCAGAAAAACGACAAATACTGAAAATGTAGTTTTCTATTTAAATCACGAGTCACGAGTGATATAGTAGTAAATGCTAATTCTAGATCTAGACCTTGGTTATTCCTGTCACATCTTCCACTTCTCTTTCTTGACAAATTGATTTTTTAAATATTTCACAAAACATATTAAATTTCTTTTTATATTTTTTGAACAACTAAATATCTTTCAAACTAAAAAAAATAGAGTAAACTATAAATTTTATCATTCTGGTTTGTCAAAAATAACATTTTTCATTTATACAGTTTCAAAATTACAAGATCATCATCATAAAACGTCTGGATTTGGTCCCTTCCTCTAACGACCATTAAAATTTTATGTTAAATGAAAGGTATTTTTGTCTTTTTATCAAGGTCATTTTTTATTTACTTAGTCAAAAACTATAGGAACCAAATCATAACAACGATTTTTGGTCGGTTAAAAGACAAAGAAATTGATAAAAGATCGAAAATGCCCTCATTTAATGAAATTTTTTAACGACTGCTAAAAAAGTTGACTAAATTCAAACATTTTTTAAATGACGATTAACATCTTGTAATTTTGAAACTGTAAAAACAAAATGTGTTATTTTTAACAAACCATAAGAACCAAAAGTTTGGTCTAAAAATATTTATAGGCCAAATCATTGTAAAAAATATAATTATTATTTTCTAGAGTTTATTTTAATAAATAAAAAGTTGTAAAGCTGAGAGGAGGAGGAGGACCACTGGTTGTGGTTGGTGCACCGCCGGTGGTGTTCGTCGGCGGTGGGTCTGGGTGGTCTCTACCCCACCCACCCACCAGATATACACATGTGTAGGAATATGAATAATAAACAATTTAAGTATCTTTTTTTTTTACTATTTAAAAAGAAATTAAAAACTTTATGTTAAAATTAAGTCTTAGATACCAATCTGATTACAAACTCAAACACGTCATTTAAATGTAAAACGCTAGCTGAATAAGTGATTATTAAATGTAAAACGCGAACTGAATAAGTGATTATAGGATCACTTATTTTTTCATCCGTCTTTATTTTTATGATTTTTTATTTATTTAACATTTTCTCCTAAACTGACTCTAAGGATACTTGTTTATATATAAAAATAAAGTTAAGAAAATTACTAAGTGAAGAAAAAAGTCTTCCTTTTTTGTCAAGATAAAGTGAAGATTATACCTTCATGCTTTGTTAAAAGTGTTGGCGTATATTTAAGGTTGAAAATGTCAAAGTTTAAACTTTACATATATCGACATTTCGATAATTAACGATAAACAAGTCCTGACGTTACCAACAAATTTCAAATCACAAGTCATAATACAACAAATTCTACGTCGTCAGGTTAAAACTTGAAATTTAACTTAAGAAATAGGTGCAAAATATGTCAACTCAACACTTTTTTACAAAACTTTACCATACCCGACATTTGGTTACAGACAACGGAACATAAACCTGTGTGTATTTCGTTTGAAAATATAAACTCAAAACAACCTTAAAAACAAAAACCATCTTGCTGTGGATCCAATTGAGTACATCTAGACTTAGGGGCCGTTTACCAAACACTTATTCAGTAAACACTTACCGGTAAAATTCAGTACTATTATTTACTTACCGGGTAAGATTTTAGTTAACAAAAACGGCTTTCTATGCAACAATTTACCCGGTAAGAACTGACCATGGTAAGAGTCATTGCATTCACTTACCGGGTAAGACTCTCAGTCCTTGCTTCGTTCTTAACGGATAAGATTTTTGGTCCTTACCATATTCATCCGATAAGGTAATATAACTTGGTAAACGCTTATCAAAGTAAGTAAGCATTTGGTAAACGGCTCCTTAATTATATGATGTTATTGATCGTGATCGATCTTTAAATACCCCCCCACAATTTTGTCATCTTTGAGATGCATAGAGAGAAACAAATATGGGAATCGGGTACTTTGGAAAGGTCAATTTCAATAGTGATAGTACAAAATGAATGGCCCATGCCCTTCAAAACCTTCATTCATTGGTCTTCATCTCTTACAACTACTTGCATTATCCACAATTAATTACAATTACGTAAGAATGGCTTATCCGACCACCTTAAATCCAAATTAAATTTGACAGATTGTCAAACTTATTTCAGTATTCATTGTTAACATAAATACTCCAACAAACAATAACAATGGTTCTGTAAGTGTTAAGATCAGTATTTTAAACAACCGTCAAATCAGTGACCTAACTGAACCATCATATTGTTAGACCATCGATTAGGAAGTAGCGAGCTGTGGCTTAGGATAGACGGTTTTGTAGATACCGGTTAGGTCGGGTCGAATTTTTTAATTATGCATGGTTTTGAATTTTCTATCAAAAGAATGTTGTGATTCCAAGAACCCCTTTTTTGAGGGCCATGCATGTAATAAATGAAGTAATAATGTTTGGAAGCATATAGTATGGTTGTCATCCACTTCCCAGTATCAATGAATCTCACAGCCAAAAGCAAAGGGGGCCATGCTTATTTCCCTCAACTTCATGGAATCATTTGGTGAGACCATTCCTTTTGTTTTTAAGTGAATTCCCAAGCTTTTTAACACAACTAGTAAACAAAGTTCATGTAAAACCCTATAATTTTATCTTTGAAAATGTGTGAAATCCTATTAGATTACAAGAGAACAAACGGGAAGAAAATGGAGGTTACAACATATATTGAGGAGAAACGACACTGTTAGAGTCATAGATCGGCTAGATTTTGGATCATTTCTCCCCTATATATGTGGGAGCCTCCTTGTTCTTGGCTCTTTTGGAGAGTAATCTAATGGAGTTCCACATATTCTTACATGGTATCAGAATTAAGGTATATTACTTTAGGGACAAAGACACTCTTTTGGTGATATGTTCTCTTCTAGTCTCCCTTGACACTTTGAGATAATTATGGCAATCTATTGGAAGGGGCGCGTTAGAGTCTCGAAAATAGCAGACCGTGACTCTGATACCTTGTGAAATTATATAGAGCCGAGCTAGATTACTCTCTAAAAAACATTGTAAGTAAATAAAAGAGGTTTGGAAAGACTAAATAAACACCTAATCAAATAATAATTTGTACATTTTGAATTTATAATTAATAGGTATGCATCTAAAAAGATGGTTTAAAAATCTACTGAAGTAGTAATTTAAATTTAAGCTTAACCAATAAGCACTGAAAAAGCAAATTCAAAGAAAATGCTCCTTCCTACCAAAGGCAGGCTCCATCTTTATTATTAATTGATCAGCTGGCACCAGCTTCCCCACTCCAGTTGTCATCCCTTCACAAGCTTCATCATCTTTCTTTAAAATGGCATACACTCCCCTCTCTTACTATATATATAGATATATATATGCATGTCCCTAAAACCCCAAAAACCCACAACTCCATTCATCTTCTTCCTCACTAAAACCTTTCTTTACAAAAATGGAAAATAAAGCTCTCTTCTTTAGTGTTTTAATGGTGTGTTTCCTCATGGTTGCTTCTGCTGGCAACTTTTTTCAAGATTTCGATCTCACTTGGGGAGATCATCGGGCCAAGATCTTTAATGGAGGGAAGCTTCTATCTCTCTCTTTGGATAAAGTTTCTGGTTCTGGTTTTAAGTCCAAGAAAGAGTATCTTTTTGGGAGGATTGATATGCAGCTGAAGCTTGTTGCAGGCAACTCTGCTGGAACTGTCACAGCATATTATGTAAGTTTTACAGTCTCATATATATATATATATATATATATATATGCTGCTTTAAGGGTTGTACCCTAGCTATGCTGTAATTATGGTTCTCTCATGCAAATACCTATTTTCTAGCTTTTAGAATTGGGGAATTTTTCTGAAAGTAACCTGGGGTTGAAAAAGGACATGATCACAGGTTTTCCAAGAACGCCCACATTTCATGTGTTATAATTAAGTCTTTTAAGTTTATAAGACTAACTAGCAAATATGTTATAATAAAGCGACTATAAAGCAGACTTTGGTTTCATCATGTTTACAATATATGCAGGCTTGATCTTATAATCATCTGTTTGCAGTTATCGTCAGAAGGAGCGACTCACGACGAAATCGATTTCGAGTTCTTGGGGAACACTACAGGTGACCCTTATATCCTGCACACCAATGTGTTCACTCAGGGGAAAGGGAACAGAGAGCAACAGTTCTACCTCTGGTTTGATCCAACCAAGAACTTCCACACCTACTCAATCAGCTGGGATTCAAAACAGATAGTGTAAGCAAATAGCATGAATCTCAACACAATCACCGCAATAAAGGTTTTATAACATGCCAAATATATCTACATCTTTGTAACAGGGACGGACCCAAAATATAAAGCGTTCTATAAAGCGGAATATGTTATAGTCCATGTTATGTTGAAATTTTGTTGCGATTTCTAACCTCGTGTTTTCTTGTTATTTATTTTCAGGTTTTTGGTGGATAATACTCCCATAAGAGTGTTCGGAAATGCAGAGAGGAAAGGTGTTCCTTTTCCTAAGAACCAACCGATGAGGATATACTCGAGCCTATGGAATGCAGACGATTGGGCCACGAGGGGTGGTTTGGTTAAGACCGATTGGACAAAGGCACCGTTTACGGCTTACTATCGCAACTTCAATGCACAGAGCTCGACCACTTCTTCGAGGTTCTTGAACGGGGCGTGGCAAAACCAGCAACTTGATGCATACAGTAGAAGAAGACTGAGATGGGTTCAGAAGAATTTCATGATTTATAACTATTGCACTGATTCAAAGCGATTCCCTCAAGGTGTTCCACTGGAGTGCAGATAGTATCCATATCTAGAAGTTCTTAAATCTGATTGTTAAAAAGTTTATTATTAATTTCATGTTTGGTTTTTAATCATGTTCATGTAATTTAATGTGTTATGTTAATAAAGTCTTATAATTTGTTCTCGTTGTTGTTGGCTCCGAACTTCTTATTTGGACGATAGTGGATCAATGCAGATAAGGACCTTATTATTATTTTTTCTTCCAAATGATAGACACCATTTAACTATAAAAAACAAATATATGGATATCTTTCACAAAATCAACATTAGTGTGGTGGTTAGTTTATTATTTCTCATATGAGAGATCTTGTGTTCAAGTCTTTTCATATTAATCTAAAATTAGAAGTTAAACACTAAGGGAGTGTTTGGTTCATGGAATTTGGTGGAATTGAAAAGAATTGGAATGTCCAAATTTTTGACCAAATTCCAAATATCATGTTTGGTTCACATAATAGATGTGAAAGAATCTTTCTAATTCCAACAAATTCCTTAAGTCATTGATTTCACAATTCCACCGCATATACGACGGATTTCAAATTCCAATTCGACAAATTCCTTAGAGCAACTCCAATCGAACGAAAAAAACTAGGGTTTTACCGTTCTTTTGGATCCAACCACACGGTGAAAACGGCATAAATTTGGCGGAGGAGAATTTTGAACAACAAATTTGCCGTAGAAGAGATGGACACCAAAAGGGTGGTCCCCACCACCATTCATAAATAAATTATAAATATTAACTTTTAGGTTTTTATTATTATATTTATTATGTAAAATTATCTATACTACATATATAACCATTTAAGACAAAGTCTTAAATACAAGTCACTAAGCATAAGTTACAATGGTTTTATGCACCAAATTCAAAAATCTCTTAAAGACAAGTCACAAAGCATATAGTACAAGCTTTTTATGCATGGATTTTAAGAGAAAAATGCAGAGCTCTTTTTGGTTAAGGTCAAGGATGCTTTTTCTGTTTTCTTCTTTTCTATCTTCTTCCTCATGAATACTCCTGCTCCAATCCCATCCCCGCCAAACCATTTTTGGGTAAGTTGAAAAATCTTTCTCTATTTTCTTCTTTTCAAGCTTCTTCTTAATGAAATTTCCTGCACCAAATCGAAAATAGTAAGGTCAGCATGCGATATCTTCAATGGCTGCAAACCTTGCACAAATGGGCGGTTCCCAAGAAGTCTTCATCGCTGCATATAACCAGGCTTTGGAGGTTTTGATTTCTACACAGCTTCTTGATTTACATAGAAAATCTTGTCCTAAACATGTTCTTGATTTACATAGAAAATCGGACTTGCATTCTTGTTCATTCTTGTTCTAAACATGTTCYTGGAATTGGAAGTTATTTGTTGAAATGCAYAATCCATTCTTTTACATTMTGCTATGTTATATGGGTGMTATCTTGATTTTAGGYATAGAGTTGATGACTTGACCTCAATGGTTCTAGCATTTTACAGTATGGATTATGGAAGCTATATGATTAGATTTATGACTTCACATACTTGCTAGAAGCAAAATCATTTTGACTTCACAGACTTGCTAGCAGCAAAATCATTTTGACTTCACAGACTTGCTAGCAGCAAAATAATTTTGACTTCACATACTTGTAAGTGAACCCTCTATTTTTCTGCTCTAAAACCCTTTTTGTAACTCCAACAAAAACCCCAAATCACCAAAAACCCAAATCCCTTGATTTCAAAAATATGACACATATACCTCCATAAAATGATCAATATTGGATTTTTATCCAAACAATTGATATCAGCTGTTGGGACTGTTTTTTGATATCTAATTGTAGCAGCACAAATGATATAACAACACAATGGACTTGTTAGAGTTCATTCATCTATTTTCAAGGGATCCACTTTGACATTATCAACTGCTGAGTAGACTTTTTCTACTCCACATTAATGCTTAGAAATTCATAGAACCTCTTCAGGTTACTTGGGTTCCTGTTCCTATTCTTTTKGTTGTTTCCCATTTTTGCACAACAGGGTTATRAAAAWCCAYGGGTGAAAAATGGGGTTRCKCCCTCGGCAAGACTAGGATAAAGTTGAGCCAAAAGATCCYGATTCAAGATAAATTCATGAGGAAGTGGTATTTCTTTAGGATCTACTCCAGCATAGAGGTTATTATGTCAGCAATAGTATCACTACCCATAGATCTTTGGGCTTTGATTACCAAGGAATAGGGGATGGAATAGCGGTTGGATGGTTAGGACATCCTATCTTTAGAGGTGATGTCTTTATAGAAGTATAAACAACAGTTTCTTTCCTATGGACATGGGGGTACATGTTTCCTATTCTTTCTGTTGTTTGGGTTTACCCCTAGGATGTCTATAAACAACTGATGTCTTTATAGAAGTATAAACAACTATTTTCTTCCTCAAGTCAAACCACATGACCAAATATTAAAACACCTGCTTTGTACATTAAAACACCTTGCATTCTTGTTCTTTTTTCCTACTGTTTGAGATGAGAGTCAAAGTTTGAGATGAAAGCTCTTTCCAAATCCAAACAAAAAAAATTAATTCCTCTTGTATAATTAACCTAAGCCAAAAAGAAAAAGGATCCGTATGCAACAATTTACCCGGTATGCACTTACCCAGTTAAGAGTCGTCACCCTCATTTACCGAGTAAGACTCTGCATTTTTAATGGATGTACGTTTAGAATTTGATGCTATATTTGTTTCTTGACATATACCACAATGATCATCTACTATATTTTGGGACT